AAAAAGAAGAAGAGAAGAAGAAGACAGCGGGGTGAAAGGAGGCGAGGAAGGTGAAGAAGAAGAAGAGGATTGGCGAGGAAGAAGAGCCGGCAGCCATAGCTGACCGGAGGGTTGACCAAGAGGGTTGACCGGAGGCGTTGACCGGAGTTGACCGAAGTTGACCGAGGGTCATAGCAGCGTTGACCAGCATTGACCAAGGTCGTTGACCAAGGCGTTGACCAAGACTTTGACCAAGCTGGAGTAGGTAACATCTCGCCAAGCCCTTAGCCTGCCCCTTGCCCTATGGATGTGCACATACCCCTTGGTACTTGYTGAGTACAGTCTGTCTGTCTATTCTTTCTGCATTGAGTCTCTTCTGTCCTAGGTCATAGAACTCTGTAGATGAAGGATAGGGCCTTGCTGCCAAACCTGCACGGGACTTAGTAGGACTAATCTCTACTATGGTATCTGGGGACCTGGGCATGAGCGGCGAGYGCTCGTTAAACAACTCGTCTCGCCCAATGACCGGTACTGTCCGGCACGTCTGATCAGTTTCAGTGTAGAGGGTCCGAACTCTGAGCTGCAGGCTGAAACCGAGGCCGTCTTTAAGTGTTGAGGGCCTGTTGGAACCACTCCCCTACCAGACCAAGTAAGGCTGATGATCTGTGTCTGACGACTCGACTGTCCCGGGGGATACGAACCCTCCCAAGGACCGGTACAGACTGGCGGGCTGCTCGGTGTGGCACAGTAGGCCGGAAAGGCTGAGTTGTGGGCTGAAAGCACAGGCAGAACCAAGCTGATCACGTCGTCCTGTCTGCGACGTTAAAGAATTCTTGAGGAGTTATGGGGGATCCCCTTAAATGCCTCCTGATCAGCCACTGGTTCAGTAGTGACAGCCATAGTGTAGGTCTAGGCTAGAGACCATAGTTGACAGGATCCCTGTCAGGATTCTGTGAGTCTTAGATTGAGTCAGTAGGTCTGTCACTCAGGGGTTGACGTCTACGTGGTGAGGTTTGGAACCACTAACCCGGTTGTACACTTATCACCATGGTTGAGACCCATAGTGGGAAGGAGACTAGCCCCTACACCACTGAGCAGCAAGAAAAGATGGTCGCCTTAGTCAGAGAGAATAAGGAGAGGAAAGAGCGTGAAAAGCAAGCCAAGCTAAAGGCTATCGCAGAYGAGCAGGCAACGAAGATGAAGAGATTGGAGGAGGAGATGAAGAGGGTACAACAGGAGGAGGAAGAAAGAAGGAAGGTTGCTGAAGCAGAAGCGACCGCAGAAGAAGAGAAAGAGAGCATGAGAATTGAGAGTGGGGAAGGAAGTAGTGGTGGCACAATGAAGTGGGAGACAGATACTGAGCTGGAGAAGAAGATCAGCGAGTGGGTCGCTAATTTATCGTTGGGGGAAGACGAGGAGGCAAAGTCATATGTGACTAAGGATGAGAAGGCTGCGATGGCCGCTGAGCTAGCAGCCATGATAGACCCAATGGAACGAAGAGAGAGGGAAGATGAGAAAAAGTTAGCATGGAAGCTGAGAATGAAGAGGGAGAAGAAGAGGAGGAGAGAGGAAGTGAATAAGATGATCGCAGCAGTGGCAAAGGTGCAGGAGTGTAGAGCGGAGGTGCTGGCCCAGCCAGATGATAAGGCCAAGTGGGACAAAGTACTGGGCTATTTAGAGGTGTTGAGCAAGGCTTGGATGGAGGAGCGCCAGGCAAGCTGGAGCCAGGATGTAGCGTTGAGTGCCATGCGGTCCGGGTTTAGGGATTTTGCGCGCGAAATCGTCACCCACATTGGGGGCGAAGTCAAACAGTCGAGGGACAATGTAGGGAAGTTTTGTGAGGGCGCCATTCAGGGTGCCAAAGCTGCAGCCGCTGTAGAAGGAGAGGGCAGACCCCGTAAGGACCCAGTGAAACTTAAGTTCCCAGACGCGTACGGGGGAAAGAAGGACGAGAACTTTAACAACTGGGAGGCCAGTGTCAATAGTTACATTTATTTACAGCATATCCTGATAGAGGAGCAAGTCCTCGTGGCCTTCCAGGCCCTGAAGGACGAAGCGGCTAGCTTCACCAGGTCTCTCGCGCGTACAGCCGGTTGTCAAAACAACCTGGTTGCGTATTCCAAAGTCACTCCTCTTTCCCAATTCCTCAAGCTCCTCAAGGAGCGGTTCGCTGACCCAACACGAGGCATTAGAGCCTCTGATAAGCTCCAAACGATCCACTCTCGGCAGTGGAGGAATGCTAAGGCACTCAAGGGTACTATGGACGACTTGGTAGCCGTCCCGGACCACGGAGTCACTGAGCCCCCTTCTGGTCCAGTTGTTTTATCGTGCCATTCCAGAGGCCCTACGCGGGCATTTCTTTGACAAATCTCAGCAGCCCGGCATGACTTACGATGCATTGAGTAGGGAAGTCGTCCTGTATAAGTCGAAGTCTATGCCAGTGACCACTTTCTGGCATAAGGACTTAGAGAAGGGAAGAAGTGGCAGAATCGTACCATCTCAGGCCAAGTAAAGGCCAAGGATCACATGATCCTGACATTAGAAGAAGGTGGTACCGATGAGGTCCCATATGACCAGATTGAGTGGGGCCTTGAAGATGATGGCAGTAGTGTGGGGTTGAGGAGGTCTTACGCTGCTGTCGCGGCCGGAGGGAGGCCGCAAGGTAGAGGAGGAGGCCAGGGCCAAAGAGGCCAGGCCATGGGAGGCCGAGGACCGGGCGCACAGGGGGTTGGCGGACAGGGAAACTGCCAAGCAGAAGGTAGGGGTCAAGGTCCCCCGTTGAATCGCCAGGGTAACCGGTCCCCACAGCGAGGAGGTGGAAGGGCACCTCAAGGGGGTTGGCACCGAGGCTTGCCACATGGCAGGCCCTGGGAAGATTTGGGCTTGGACCAGCGCGTATGGGAGGAACGCGTGGACCGGGGTCAGTGCGTATTCTGTGGTGACCCGGCCCAAGTTATCAATTTTTTTCCAAAGTATAGACAGGCCCGTTGGGCTGCTCAGCACTCAAAAGGCAGCCGCCAGTAGGGGTCGCAACTGCCCCTACTTCCAGGCCATGTGGAGAAGTGAGCGCGCGCGAACAGGACACTCCCAACCCACATGAGCCTATGGCAGAGGTTGCAGGCCCGTGCCTAGATAGCTGTCCAGAGACTGCTTGTGTTAGCGTCTCTTTAGGCACGTCCCTCACAGGTGTGGCAGAAGAGTAAAAAGAGAGAATGCCAACCTGGGCCAAAAGATTTTGGTAGATATAGAGGTGTTCAGAAGTAGAGTAGGGGCCCTTACAGACTCAAGGGCTACTCGTAGTTACATTAGCCGTAGGGCGCTGAAAAAGTTGAGGCTAGGACTAAAGGTCCAGAAACTAGTAGACCCCATAGTTAGTGTCCTCGCAGACAACCGCACGATGCGCGTTGAGGACTACGTAGAGGGAGTCCAGGCGTACTTTCGCCTAGAGAAGAATGGAAAAGTGGAGAAGGTCCTCCATTCTTTGACTCTCCTCGTGCAGGATGACCTTCCTTTCGATATAGTGTTAGAAATGGATTGGGGAGAGGCAGCAGGGGCCACACTTCATTTGAGAGAGCATGAGTGTAGGCTCCCTAGCCCGTCAGTCGAGGTTAAGACTGCCCACTTGTTCCATGTGTCTGGTGTAGATAACACCTTGACACATTGCTATCTCAGTGCTCCCGCATTCGCGCGATTGGTAAAGAAGGAGCAGTTAGAAAACCAGGTCTTTGTAGTATATGTCAGACCTGTCACTGAGGCCCAGGAAAAGGATAGTTCCAAAGATCCAACAATTGCCAAGCTACTGGAAGAATTCAAAGACTTGACTGAGTCGCCGACAGGAGTAGTGTCGCGACCCATCCAGCACAGGATAGAGATAGAGTCTGGCAGTAGAACTCCTAAGGGTGCAGTCTACAGGATGTCCCCTAGAGAGTTAGAGGAGCTCCGCAAGAAGTTAGACGAACTCCTTGAGAAAGGTTGGATCAGGCCCAGTTCGTCTCCTTTTGGAGCACCCGTTTTGTTTGTCCCCAAGAAGGAAGAAGAGCTTCGTATGTGTATCGACTATAGGGGTTTGAACGCGATCACAGTGAAGAATGCTGAGCCGCTGCCCAGGATAGACGATCTCTTAGATCGAGTGCAGGGTTGTAAGTATTTCTCTAAGATAGACTTAAAGTACGGATACCATCAGATAGAAGTCCATCCTGATGATCAGTACAAGACTGCATTCCGGATTAGATATGGGCATTATGAGTTTATAGTGATGCCCTTTGGACTGACCAACGCGCCAGCTACTTTTCAGCGCTGTATGAATGACTTGTTTAGACCATGGTTAGATAAATTTGTAGTAGTCTACTTAGATGATATCCTAGTCTTTAGTAAGACCCTCCAGGAGCACCAGGGTCATTTGAGGCAGGTCTTGGAGAAGCTTAGAGAGGCTAACTTCAAGATCAACGCGAAGAAGTGCGAGTGGGCCAAGACGCAAGTCTTATACTTGGGCCACGTGTTGGACGGAGATGGCACTAAGTCAGAGGACAACAAGATCGCGACGATCAGAGATTGGCCAACACCCCGCACATTGACAGAGTTGCGGTTGTTCCTAGGCTTAGCTAACTACTACAGGAAGTTTGTGAGGAACTTCTCCACTATCGCCGCTCCCTTGCGCAGGTTGTTGAAAAAAGAAACAATCTGGCAATGGAATAAAGACTGTACGTCTGCGCTCAAAAAGTTAAAGCGCGCGTTAATAGAGTATCTTGTCCTCAAGGTTGCAGACCCGTCCTTGCCATTTGTCGTCACCACGGACGCGAGTCAGTATGGGATAGGCACCGTGTTGCAACAAGATGACGGCAATGGCTATAGACCCGTAGAGTTCATATCCGCGAGGATGCCTTGTGAGAAAGTCACTACCTCCACGTACGAAAGAGAACTCTACGCCCTCAGGCAGGCTTTAGACCATTGGAAGCACTACCTGCTTCGGAGGCACTTCAAAGTCTACTCGGACCATGAAACACTTAGATGGTTGAAGACCCAGGCCAAGATCACACCTAAGTTGACCAGGTGGGCCGCAGAGATAGACCAATTCGACTTTGAGCTCAAGCGTGTGAAGGGCAAGTACAATGTAGTGGCGGATGCTCTAAGTAGGAGATCAGACTACTTTGGAGCCGTAGTACATTATTTGGATATAGGGAGAGACCTGCAGGAGAAAGTGAAACAAGCGTATACGCAGGACCCTATCTATAGCGACCTCCTAAAGAGAGTTAGAGAGACCCCAGAGACCGAACCAGATTACCGCACTACAGACGGGTTGCTGTTTGAGAAGACTAATGTGTTTGACCGCCTGTGCGTTCCCAAYAGCGAAGAGATTCGTAGTCTAATTCTAGGTGAATGTCACGATACTGAGGGACACTTCGGTTGGCAAAAGACGTTAGCCAATCTGATGCGTG